GCAGACCCCGCGGGGAAACGCGGGTGGTCCGGAGGCACCAGCGGCGTCCAGGGCACGGTTTGGAAACCGCAGAGCTTTATCCGCCCCTCGCAGCAAGGCGGGCTCTGCCGGAGCGCTCCGTGTCGTACTCCTGGCCTGACTCCCTCACGCTTGCCACACGTCGCTTACGGTTCCCATCAGGAGGTTTTCCCGAGCACCTTGCCGGTTCACACCCCAGCCTTGTCCCTTCAGTTTCCCCTTGGCTAATCCTGAATCCCCCTCTTTTCTCCGATGCTTGTGCATTTCCAGATGTAAAGGCAGAGGTAGCAGCAGCTCCCCAAGCAAGAGCCTTGCTTCCCAGGAACAGCAACCCCATCCAAGACCAGCCCTGCAGGTCCTGAGGGTAAAAGCCCTCGTGGTCTTCCCCTGAAGGCCACAAGCTTTCTTCCCACTGGTTTCTCCAGGGAACCCTGCAGCCCAGAGATTGGAAAATATCAGCAAATCGTTCCTGCACCTGCTCTCAACACAGAAGCACGACGATAGAAAATGTCCTGGTCAGTCTCTCATCACCAGAATTTTCTAGCTGGCAGGAAAAAAAAAATTGCCAATGTGTATTAGATGCTCCTGGCACTTTGGGGCCATGGAGCACCGGGAAAGAGCATGAGCAATTGCATCCTAGCAGCAAATCGGATTTGTATACCCTGAAACCAAATTGTGCTCCCAGTGATATTGGTATACGTTCAGGCTATTTCCACAAAGGTAAAATCAGCTCCTGAGCTGGAGAAAGGAGCCTTAGAGCTTAGGTCTGTGGAAATCCCCTGATGTTTTGTACAACCCCCTTCCCCATGCCCAGTGAGCTGGTGAAGCTGTCCTTACTGGGCAGCCAGCACCCCGGCGTGATGCGCAGCACCCGCAGAGCAGAGGGCTGCAGGGACCGCAGTGGGACCCCCCCTCCAGCAAACCCCACACCGTCACAGAGAGCAATGACAGCAGAATCGCAAACCCCGCACGTGCGGGGAGGAATCTGCCCGACCCTTCCTGTGACCGCCTAAGCCGAACCAGAAATAAAGATGGACGAAAAGAGGCTGCCAGCAGCGTGGCAGTGTTTCTCCTGGGAGGGGTTTGCTGCCGTCGCGGCGTTGGAACAGACCCACGCGTATGTCGGCAGCAGCAGGGCTCGCTGCCGAGGCTCGCCTTGCTGCTCGGAGGGGAAGGGATGGACCGTGCCTCACCCTTGCTCGTGGCAGAGCCAAGGGGACAGGGAGCTGCCACCCCACAGCTCCAGACACCAGGCTCCCGGGTCGCCGGGGCTCAGCCTCCCGCTGCCACCCTGAGCGCCGGTTCCGTCTTTGGTACCAAAACCTTCCTGGTACAATATCGCATGGCGGGGGGAGCTGCTGGGTGGCAGGATGGGACGGACACAAGGGAAGGACGTGCACAAACTAGAGACCTTAATTTTAAAGCGCTCCTGGCTTTGTGTGGGGCAGGTGCCCCATGCTGAGCTTTGTTAAGGCGGGAGAGGCACAAGCCCTTCCCGGGAGGCTGTGGGGCTCTGTGGGAAATGGGGAGGGAGGACCGGGAGGCCCAGAACAGACCCAGATGCCTGGCTCCGGAACAGAGGAGGGCACCGGCGGTACCTGGCCCACGCAGCGGTTCTCCAGCCATGGGTGCCCACCTGAGCACAGCACCTCTTGAGGGAATTTCCCATTCCCTCAGGGACTCCACAGCGCGCTCCTGCTTTACCACCGGCTCCTCTTACGTGCTGTGGGCAAACGCAGGGCAGGGAAAGGAGGAAAGGGTAAACGAACCCAGCCTGTCCCAAAATGGAGCAGAAAGGGGAGTCTAAAAAGAGCCATGCCCAGTGCCTTCTTTAGGCCTAATCCCATGGATCATCAAGATGTCCATCACCCTCCTCCCAGGGGAGGCAGCAGCAGAGGCAGGTACCCACAGTCCTGAGTTGGTTCTTCCATGGGAGATTTGCCAAGTCACTGGCTGAGACCTTGTCCACGCCTGTCACAGGACAAAGCTCACCGTCACCGACAACTACAACATAACCCAGAGCAAACAATCACATTTACAACACTTCTATACACAGACTTTTCCCTGTCTTCCTCGTACTAGAAACCCCCACGTACGTCACGGCGAAGGCGCGGGGCTCTCTGAGGGCTCCAGGTAAGAGCAGCGGGAAATTTCCTGAAGCAGTTCCAGGCTGCCCCGACCCCCGAGCAGCTCCTTCACACCAAGCTGGTGGGCAGGCAGAAGGTCTCAAAGCTAAGCAGCCTTCTGGTGAGCGTCTTGAATGTTTTATTAGAGTCATATTTCCGCTCGTTCATCCGGGTAAGTTCAGGGTGAGCGATGGCAGCCCTTGGCTCTGCCCCACGGCTCCGTCACACCGCTGTGCACAGACAGCTTTTATTGCAGCCCCCTCCGGTCACCTGCCCGTGAACCAGCTCTGCTGTGCGTCGAGCGCGGTGGTCTCGATGAACTGGCAGAGGCAGGGCACGCTGCCCTGCTCCAGGTGCCCCCCCGCCCCGGCCCGAGGGAGCCGGCCGGTGACCAGGAGCCGGACGTAGCAGCTGCTGAAGATCACCAGGAGCTGGTGGGCCATCACCTGGAAGAAGCAGGAGAGGGGACAGCGCAGACCAGCCCACCGC